CCTAAAGTGGGCTTCAGTTCTACAAACTTTGTAAGAAATGAAAAGTATAATTTACATTGAGTCATAAGTCATATAAATAATTTCTGAATTAATGTCATTTAGAAGCTTAGTATTATTATTATTATTATCATTGAGATGGTAGAGAAAATGTTTAGCTCAGGTAGATGATTGTGGTGGTTTTTCGTTCTCTGAGTTGAATGTTTTGGTTGTGAAGCTTTCATTGTTCTTCTCCTCCTGAACAACAACATGGTCATCAGCACAAACTTCAAATGAAGGTCATGTATTCGAATTTCTCCACGTTTGACCTGTAGCTTATTCTGCTAACCTCAATCGGATATTTTTTGGCATACTTTGTCATCGTTTGAATTCGAATTTTTAACTAGTACATAGAAAAGTTTTAACGTCCTATTTGGAAATACAATATCAGAAGACATAAGATTCATGACAATTGATTTTGAATGGTTTTCAGAAGTGGAATCAAATTGATTTGAATTATGAATCGAACTAACACCTTTCATGGAAGATGTTGTTATAGACTGGCCATGAGAAAGCATCTGTTTAGGTTCATGTCCAAAAGAAAACCTACTAATCAAGGGGTGTGTTCTCTCAAAGGACCAAACGAAGAAGACTTCACCAACCTAGAGATGGCCGAGATCTTCACTAAATTTACTGAGCAGTTAAACCAGGCAAACACGTTTACATAGCACTACGCAAACCGAGTGCCAGATGACGGTCTAGGGAACATCAGTATCACTTCTGACTTAGTACTAACGAAACTAAAATACTTACGCTCAGGTAAGTCCCCAGGTTGTGACAAAAGTCGCCCCATAGTCTTGAAACAATGTGCCGAAGTCCTCTGTTCACAGTGTGGTGTGACCTACTTATACTAACGATATAAATAGTATAAGAAGTCTCACAGTCAGAAGAGGAAAACGGAAAGCAAATGGAGCAAAAGCAACAAGTAAATGGAGGAAGGAAAGGAAGCAACAACAGGAATGGAAGAAGGATGGAGCGTTGGAAGTCACGTCACAAAGATGGTGAGCAAATAGAGTATTCAATGTAATGTTTTCGTTTTTAATTGACTAAGAGTGTAGATTAAATCAAAATCAATCTTCCTCGCATGCCTCAGTCTTCTCAACAGGTACGTGACCTGTTCAGGCATTCACTGGAGTCACACCAATTCCAGCTGAACTGAAACAAGCTACTCTCTCTACAATCTTCAAAGGAGGAGATAGAACTGACCCAGCCTGTTACAGACCAGTCGCACTACTACCTAATTTGGAAGGGCTGGTGGACGAACAAACGTGAGAGTGCATGGATAAGAATCAAATACTCCATGAAGCTCAACATGGGTTTCGGAAAGGCAGGTCGTGTGCATCTAAACTCTTCATTGCATAGGACAGTTGAACATCGTGTTTGTACCGTAAAATACCAGTGCACGTAATATTTCTCGACTTTGCAAAAGCCTTTGACACAGTGACCCACGCACGCCTAATCACAAGGGTTGTGGAAATGGGCTTCACTGACCCACTCTTATCTTGGCTCAGAAACTACCTTGAGAATAGGAAGTTTCGCACCAGGGTAAACAGAGTGCACGCGAGTTGGCGAGTATCCACATCGGGAGTTTCACAGGGGTCCATCCTAGACCCACTTCTCTTCGTGATATTTATTAACGACCTGTTAGGCTCAGTTAGCTCACCGGCATTGATCTACGCAGGCAATGCGAAGATCTGGAGGTCGATTAGAATCGAAGATGATTCGGCTGTGCTTCAAAAATGACCTAAAACCTATTGAGGAATGGACAGTGTAAAGCGATGTAAAACTCAACCAACCGAAGTGCCATGTCATGCATATTCTGCCTCACACGACACAAACCATCTACACCCTCAATGGAAGTCCACTCCCTAATGTCTCTTCAGAGCGCGGTCTTGGTTTAATAACCACAGAAAGCCTCCACATGAGTCCGAAATATGTAGGGGACGCAGCCGAAGCGAATGCGACTCTTCACTTGATGCAAAGACAACTTGGTGCCGTCACCCCACAATTATTTTTGACCCTGTTTAAGACGTACGCGCGCCCACACTTGGAGGTTTACAACGTCATCGCACCCTGTCTGCCCAAAAGAGACATAAATCTGTTGGATCGACTGCAGAGACGAGCAACGAAATGGGTGATAGGGTTGAAAAATAAGCCTTAGGATGATAGACTCCTGCACTTAGGATTATCTCCACTGAGCTAAAGGAGAATTAAAGGGGATCTCTTTATGACGTAAAACATAATCAGCACACAAAGACATCCCAATGTCAGCATCCTACAGATGCACCACTACCACTCCGCTCGAGGTAATCCTCGAAATAATCAGTCAGATGCAACGTAGAACTTCGTACGTAAGTACATCAGTTCATGTCGCCATACCACATCAGCACAGAGATATAATTGTCAATCCGATAGTAGAAGAGGTAGTAAAGGTATTAGGAGTAATCGGAGAGGTTAGGATTAGAAGATACTACTCAAGAAGTATGATTTAATGAGAAAAGTTTAGAAAGTCAAAACCAGAGGTTTTGAAGAATCCAGAAGATTACGGTTTGAGAGAACACATAGAATAAATGCATCGGCACCATTGCGAACGATTTTGAGCCATGTCATTCAAGGTCTCTAACCATCGATTATTATCATCTCGCGGACTCCAACCACGTAGTCGACAATTACCGACATGGCTCAATCCAATAGTCAATGACTTCATGGATTTCTGCCATGTTTTGGTTTGGCCGCCCCTAACTTTCTTCCAACCTATTCCTACACTACAAAACAAAGCTCGACGAGGCAGTCGGTGGTTCGGCATACGCAACACATGTCCCAACCACCTCAACTGATGAAGTGTCACTACTGCGTCTATTGATCTGCCATTCTTACCTAGTACCCGTTTCCTAATAACAGCGTTGCTCACTCGGGTGTCCCACGATATACGAGCAATGCTTCGAAGACACCTATGATCGAAAACCAGTAACCTATGAATATCTTCTACCCCTAGTGGCCATGTTTCACAGCCATAAAGTAAGACGGAGCGAACTGATGCGCAGTGCACTCGTCCTTTAGTCAGCAAACGGATATCTCGCCTACGCCATAAGTGACGCAGGTTGGCAAAAGCCAATCGAGCCTTCTATATCCGTGCCGAGATTTCGTCAGTCACCAGGCCATCAGCACTGATGAGACTCCCAAGATAAGTGAAGCGGTCTACACGTTCGACCACTTCACTCCCTATCACTAGTTCAGGCGCCGATGAAACCTAGTCTTCCAGCAACTTTTTGTATTTCGTCGGGGAAAACCGCATCCCGAACATGCTTGCATTGTTGCTTAGGGTAGTCAGAAGACTCTGTGTTTTGTCTTCCTTTTCATGTCCCTCAAGAAACAACCTTTCACGGTGTGGGCAGCCGGGAAGTGACAACCGCCCTCATACCCGTAACAGCACGAGAGACCAAATTGGTCGAAATCAAATCCTTTCTCGAAATAATGCACATCAAACAGCGAATACTCAGATTCGTGCACACTTTTTCTCGTTGAGAGTCGTCGCAGCTTGGAGTGCTCTCCCGGCCGAGGTGACCACAGCACCCTCAGTAGACAGCTTTAAGAAGAGACTTGATAATCACGTACTCACATACCGACTATCATTTCCCTCTTTCACAAGCTGTTTATGATGCATATCTTGAGACCTGCTAGTTGTTATCATCACCATCTCCTCAGATCGCTCAATTAATCTTTCTCGCATATTATCTCTATTTCCTCTCCCTTGATTACACTTCAGTCCTCTCTCACAATCTTAAATAAAAATTAATCAACTAAATCATCTTTATATTACTTAATTCTAAAATTTTATTCATGTTAGCATTAGAATTTTATCCTTATTATCCTTATTACTTGTCAAGTCCCATAGATCAGAAACAGCATGTTCAGGAACATCAGTCAAAGTATTGATTAGATCATTGACTAAACGAATCACGCATGTGTATAAGTTTCTACAAAAATATAATAAAAGGAAAACTGAAAAAGATAAACAACTTTGCTTTGTGCTGTCTGTTTAAGATAAATATTTCTGTGAAAGATAACGTCAGAATTTTGTTTCAACAAGATGTGCCTGGTGAAAGTAATTAGTTCCTGTGACGTGTGTAGATTGGTTTTGCATTTTTACAAAATACTAACATTGTCATCCCCATATGACGAAAATGTAATCTTAATCGGATTTTCAATTTGCTAATAATCAAAGAAAATTCATATTGTTCACTGTGGCATACACATAAATGAAGCCAAAACTATGCAATTCAACTTATATTTGGAAGTAATTACTTCAGCAAAAAAGAATCTTTTTTTAATTGAATATTTGACTACAGTGGCTTCATTATATCAATGTGAGTGTAAAACACAACAACAGCAATACATATCTACATTGTCAGTATCAATTATTTCACTGACAGCTTATATTCTGTTAATATGAATTCTATTAATAACTTTTAATTATATTAGGGAATACATGATCATATGAGCAGTTAAAATGAAAAACCATTGCAGGGAATCAAAATGAATTTGTGCATCACAACATACATTCTAATGAAGCGGTGTGCACATTTCAATAATCAAATTATTTAATTTCGTTTACACCGACAACATAAATACGCGTACACCTGTTAGTTAACAAGTCTGATGATGACACATTACTGTCTATGCATGAGTGTAGGTCGAATAATTTCTTCACATCATGCTGCGCAGAGTTGCATGTCAGTTAACTCTGTATACCTGTTTGTAGATTCACAATAGAACAAACATATGACAATGAAGCTAACTAACTAACTAACTACATAGTCAATCACATGAATCATGACGAATTGAAACAATGAAATTGATATATTTAATGAGACGTCAGACACAGATTACTATGCACTCATAGTTATTAGCAGTTAAAACACTCTGTGGTGATAACTAATATCATCTTATTAGAGTATAGTGCAATGTCATTGTCGAATGAATCTTGGAGAAGATTGTTCATCATATGCAACTGTAGTTTCGTAGTGAGTATCTTCATTTGTGTGCCCCTTTCATGATTCATTTCATTCAACCGTTTCATTGAAGATATTTAGCATAGTTGTGTTGGCAATCAGCATCGGTCCGCAGGTCACTCTGAATGGACTCAGTGCAATTTTAAATAATGCCAAACCATTGGTCTTCCTGATTGCTAGTATTGCAGGAGGACTTGGTGTATTGGCATCATGTGTTGGTGTTTGTGGATACTTGAAACAACACAGAATGATCGTATATGTGGTAATTGATGCATTCAATGTGGACAAACATTTGTTGTTGTTGTTTTTGTTGATTTGTGTGTTTAGAATATTTTTCTTCTGTGTTTGGTGACACTGATGGAGATCGGTGTAGCTGTGAACGTGGCTACGACGGAAGACAAGGTTTGTTTGGTTTAGAATGAATTTGATGCAGACTAAAAAACACTCTCTTGTGGTTTGGTCATTATAGTTTTACGAGTTAGCTCGTGAATCTCTGAATGTCACCGTCAGATTTTACACTACGAAAATTGAATATCAGATGGAGTTTGACAAATTACAAACGGAAGTATGTTTTGTGAAACATCTTATCTTCTAATGGTGTTCTATGTAGTTTCAATGTTGTGGTGCTTATTCCGGAATGGACTATAAAAAGGTGATGAGGACGTCAAACACAATTCCAAAATCATGCGATGAAAAAAATTGGAACAGCCAGAAAGTGAGTCAATATATGGAGAATCATCAATTAATCAAGTTATTTTGATATACACATTGTGATTTCTATCCTAATTATATGTTGGAATCAATTTAGCCTCTGTCTTATCACCTTACACTACATAGTTAAGTGAATTTCATTCTAGTTGAAATGTTCATTTCATTTGTGAGTGACATGTGGTAGGATTTCAAAATTCTTATTTGGTTGTAAACAACACAACGAAAGGTGTTTCCTTTCATCTCATCTTATATGATAAGACAATCTTCGATGATTTTGAAATTCGTTGCCTTTAAACAGGTGAAGTGATTTATTTTGGTAATTGCTTGTATAATGCTTCTCATAAACCTATTATGTTCCTCTATTGTAATTCGGTTTACTGTTTTCTACTATTGACAGGGATGTATAACAATGTTAAACGACTTTGTACGAAGTTGTCTAAAAAGATTAATGTATGTGTGTTTCATCTTCGGTTTTATTCAAGTTATCTACCTGATTTCGTCAATCATGAGAATTCGTAAATTTGAAGATGGTGATACTGTATCCGCCTAATCATTTAACTGAAATGGAATGGAAATTCAGTAGTTGAAAGTGAAATAAATTTTCAGTGAAGTTTATCATTGAATGATTCGATGATGACTTTTAACCATTTAATATTGAATGGCTATTCAATTGTCATTTTATTTTTGATGAAAATAAAAATTAATTCATGAATAACTTGACTTCTTCTTCTTCAAATAAACTGTAATTGTGTGCTAATTGATAGTTGAGATCATTTTGATACTGGATGCACTTTTATTGATAATAAATATAGATGGTGTTTGCTGGGCTCATAATACCAGATCACATTCATTGTAGTTTGAGACTTATTTATCTTGAAGAATGCCTTGATGATGCTGGATTTAGAGTTTGCTCCAACCGTAAGATGTTTTTGTGCTTCTTTGACAGCATCAGTGCAACTGCATGTATGTGTGAGTGGACGACTTTCTCATGTCCTGAGTACAACATACTTTCTCCTGAAGTTAATTCTTTTCGTTCACTGTGCATCCAATATTTATATCCTATTTCAAGTAACATCTTGTTGTGACTTTTCATTGCCCCAGCGAATCGTATAGTTCTTCCGATCTTCTCTATCGTATTTCAGCATTTCCTGTATCTATAATTATTTTTTCTTTGTTTGTGAGTATTATAGGCCTGGTGACTTCCGAAGAAGATCGACTTTCAGAATGAGTCATGATAACTTTTCTAAAGGTAGACTCTCCATCTACCAGGACTAGGTTTAGATGGTTCGAATTATTTGTTCTTTCGTGCTTAGAACTAGCATTAACCCTAAAACAGCTCCGGGCGCATGAAATGTGTATGTATACAGAATTGTATTTATACTTGTCATTCAGTAGCTTTATTCACTTTCTATTGCCTTCTAGCTCATGTAGTCAGTTTCTG